GAGAAACCCAGGGATGGAGTAGGAGAAAGGCGACAAATGCTTTCAGACACGATTCTGTTAGGTGTTCAGAACTACTTTTATTGTGGGCTTGATCACACAGGGAGTCTAGGGCTTTGTCCCCATCGTGTCCCAGACACAGAAGCAAACACCCTAACACCTGGTCTCACCCAAACCTCACAATGACTTCCTTATGTGGACATCATCTCCATTTTACTAGTTAAGGCTCTGTGTCTCAGAGAGGGCAAAATAGTAGTTCAAAGTCACCAGGTGAACAAAGTTGGACATGAGGGATAGAGCCAAGCACTATCTAAGGTCACATGACGAGAAAGGGCATGGCAGGCCTGTTCAGAGAGTCACTTAGACAGGGTATTGCAAACCTTTGGCCTAGTAGCCAAAGATAGTACACAGCAGGGTTGGGTTTGACTAACCAGTGATCTAAGATGGGGATTCCTTCAAGCAGGAACCACACTTCATACCCTTTATCGTGATGCTCCTGCTTAGTCTTTCGATTATTTCCTGCAAAGCCCTAGCATTGGAGCGGTGATGGGGCTTCACCCTAGAAAAACCTTTCTTTAGCACCAGAAGTCAGCTGAGGACATTCTCCCAACCCCACTGCCCAGTTCATCTCTGGTCCCTTACTGTGACGACAGGCCCAAGTACTTGTGCAGTAGACTTTCAAGAAGTCTAACATATACAAACCTTCCTCCTGTCTCAGGGCATAGCACATGGAGGCTAGGGCCTTGTTCATGAAGTAGCAATCTCATACCCAGGGCGAGCTCGGTAAGAAACCCTGGACTGGCTGCCTCTCCCAGGTTGTTCATGAAGAGTAGCAAGCAGCTGGGGTTCTCCAAATGGGATCACAGCACAAAGCAGTTGGAACAACACATTGACGTACTAGGCAGCTGCACAAAGGCGGAGAAATTGTGCAGGACTAGGGTGTGGTGGTGCATGCTTGTAATCCCAGCACTTGGAAGGTGGAGGGAGGTAGGAGGACTGGGAGTTCCAGGCCGACCTGACATAAATGAGACCCTATGTCAAACACAGGAGAAAAAGGAAAAAGAACTGTATGAGCATTGGTCCTAATGTCAAGAGAATCCCTTCTAGTATTCTTTTCCTGTATTTTGGGAGCTGTGTGGCAACCAAGCCCTTTAGTCTATACCCTGTCTCTCTGCTCTGTAGATAACTAGCCACTGTCAGCAATCCCAGGAAATTTTCGTAATTTTTAATTTAAAAATACTAGCTAGCCTCAGAACCCTTGGAGTTTTTGAAGTGTGGCTTGCAGACCCTGCCTTGCCTTCAGTTAAAGGGACTTGAGGCGTATGGTTACAAGTCACCATGAGCAAGGGAAGTCACTTTTCTGAACTCAAAATAACCATCTGTGGGTTAACTTGGTCTTTAAGATGAAAGCCATACCTTTTTGGTCAGTTAAGACGGGCTTGCGACCGTCCAATCAAGATTTGTATGTTCCTTAAGTACCTTGAAAATTAATATCTAGCAGAAAAGATAACCAAATGGAGGTGGGGGTCACTTAGAAGAAAGGCGACACTCCGCAAGAGTCCCTCGAGTTCACAATAAAGGGAAAGAAGGCACCCAAGCCCTAAACTTCACCCTTAAAAACTAATTTGTGCTGCCAAGAAGAGGCGGGACCCATGAGCTCCCGACAGCTCGTCTCAAACAGCAACAGCCAAAGAAACACATTTGCCTAGGGTCATGGCCTCCTGGCCCCTGAGTAGCAAGTTCCAAGTTTACTGTTTTTCAAAGCCTCGGACCTGCTTTCCCTGGTCTGTTTTGAATTTCCTCTTCCTTAAAGTGTATTTATGTTTCTCCTGTTATGAGCTGACAAGAATAGCTCCTAGCGAATCTGCTTCCGCTCAGGCCCTAACGTCATTTACTTAATTTCTTCAAGTTTTCCTTTCCCTTCCATTACACCAGATGGTCTTACAAAGGGGGTGGAGAGGGAGAGAGGTGGCCGCTTTAGACTTTATTAACCAACCAATGACTACACCAGCCAGCCACTGGCAAAAGGAACAAAAGCTATTTAGTTCTGAGTGGCTTTTCATTTACCCATCCTAAGAGGATGCTACGAATAGAGTTGTGTGCCGGGCAGTAAGAATCAAACCGAGAGCAAGCTACTGTCCTTTCCCTTGAGGAACTCACAGTCTAGTAGGTCATGCACACAATCACAAACCCATAGCCCAGAAATGTATAGGAGAAGTTGATGCCAACAGGGTTCACGTCTCCTGGTGAAAAGCATCTCCCAGGTTTAGTCAAAGGTGACGAAGGTGAGATTGCTGTTGACTTGGTGAACACTGCTAGGTCCCATTGAAAGACCCCACTAAAAAGTAAGGAGGGTTTTTTATGGAACTGTGGAGTTTGTTTTGCCCACAGATCACCAGGGTGCCTCCAGCTATAGTCCATGAGATGGTTTTGTTGTTATTGTTTGATCATTATAAGGGAAGATGAGGCAGAGTGGCAGAGGGTCCAGAGAGGTTGTAAAGTGAGTACAATGGGAGAAACTTCTTAGTCCATGGGTTCTAAGGGAGACCCCTACCCTCATGTACTGTATACACTATAAGAAAAAGACTTGATACATATTGCTCAAGAGGCAGATTGGTCTGTGGTGGTGGTGGTGGTGGTGTCCAGAGCCTGAAGGCTGGGACCAGGATGGTGAGTTGGTGACACCCAAGTTTTCCTGGCTGATACCAATACCAGTCAGATAGCCTGATCTGTACACACTAAACCAGACAGCGGAAATGACAATTTCCTTAATTCACTTACAATTTTTACACCATGAGTCTCACTATGGATACCTGAGATAAGCCATCTGTCATGCCCAGCAGTTTGGGGTCTCTGAGGGGCCGTTAGTCCTGCCCAGTGAATAATACCTCAGGCAACGGCTGTCTGTCATAGCAAAATATGCTGAGCAAGTGGTTTTATGCTCTGGGATGGAATCTCCGGGAAAGAGGGACAAGGCTAGTCACTTGAGATACAGCCCTCTGGGAAAGAAGGCTGTTGGGAAAGGAAATCAGAAGCCACTACAAATTCAGGATTCTAAGATGACTTCTAGATCTCTGTTGTTGTGTGTGAGAGAAGGAAAGGGAATTGGGTACAAGGCCCATACGAAAAGGCTGTTAAGATCACACAAAAGGAAGCTATCCAGACTGAGCTTGGACCAGTCAGGGAAGCCCTTCAAAGGAGAGACTGGAGAAGTCCAAAGCATGTGACTTTCTCTGCCACTGACCTTGAGGAATCCTGGAGTGTAGAAGGTCCCATGTCAAGGAGCAGGTGACCTCAGGGAGCTGAGCCCTGCAGCCTCATGACAGCAAGGGATTGGATCCTGCTAACAGCTGGAGGGAGGAGCTTGGAAGAGGTGTAAGCTGGCGGGACTTGACTTCATAGTTTAGCTTCCTAAGTCTCTGGGCCAAGACACCCAAGCCAGCTTCAGGCATACATTAAGTCTTGAGGCAATGAGCAGCAAGTGTCCTAGAATGCTGATACTTGGGTTGGCTGCACTTCAGTTGATAACAACAGAAAAAAAAAATGGAAGTCGTATCTATTTCCAGATGTGGCATTGATCAGAATGTATACTGTACGAGCTTAGTAACATTTAGACAAAGTGGAGGAAAGAAACCAGAATGTCATAGTTGTTTCTAATATAAGGCACCCTGGTTTTTAAAATGCAACAAAAAATATTTGCTTGGCATTAAACAGGACTAAATTTTTTTTTACAAGCCCTTTCTTTCAAGTACGACTATGCGGTTCTCCAGCCACTGGGTCTCGTTAAGGGGAGGTGTCCAGAGGACGAAGTTAAACAGCAGCTTACTCTAGGTCACAACCCAAGACTGTGTGGACTCACAGTCCAGGGTTTCCTTTTCTGGCTCTTTTGCAGTCTGCATTTGAGACCCTCTGGGTGGCTCTTGGCTGGTTATACTTTTCCTGTACTGTGCAGTCATGAGCTGTGACTGGAGATCTATGCTGCGTCTTAACCACAAGACTTTGGAACAACAGTGCTCTGTGCAGTCATGAGCTGTGACTGGAGATCTATGCTGCGTCTTAACCACAAGACTTTGGAACAACAGTGCTCTGTGCAGTCATGAGCTGTGACTGGAGATCTATGCTACGTCTTAACCACAAGACTTTGAAACAATAGTGCTCAGCTCTGAGGAAGAAGAATCCTAGCGTGTAAGATGCACGCAGAGTGATGGGTAAACGCACCCCAATTTATGAGGAAATGAACCCTATGGCGGACCTATCCAAACTCACCCTGCTAGGAAAGCCACAGAGCAGGGACTCGAACTCCGGTCCTTGTGGTTCTGAACCTGAGCCTCCTTAATGTATTGGTGTTTGGGTTTGGAGTTCTCTGCATTTTAGACTTCACCAGTGGACAGCATGCAACTACAGTCACCCTGACGTAGCTTGCCTATATGGTCCTGTAACATAAGAAAGCTGGGCACTAATCTTCTAGTTGCTGTTTAGCAACCAGCATGGGTGAACTTTGGCAGTGCTGGCCAAATTCTTCCATATCATTAGTTTCTTGAGTGACTCCTTGCTGCCTCTTGGTTCAGGCCGGAGGTCTGGACCTTTTGTTCTTGTACCATTTCGGCTCCCCCCCCACCCCGCCCATGCCTTTTGAAATAGGCCCAGTTCTCGCTATAATCTGCTCACCTACCAAGAAACACTAACTTGGGTCTGAACGCACCCCAGTGGCTGCCTTAGGTGCAGCTTGCTGATTCAGGTCAGGCCCCTGAGGCTCTTTGCCTGGAACTCTCTTCTGCCTGAGCCTCCCTAATACAGTGTGTGCAGCACATTCTTGGCGGCCTGGATCTTCTTGCCTAACAACTTCTGATTTTGGATGTCCCTTCAACTCTTGTTTGAAAAGACATTTCCTGCTGTTGACAAGATTCCTGTGTCTAGCTCACCCCCAGACTCTGTTCTCACAGGGTCGTATCTCCCACGCTCTCTGCAGTGAACCCATCTTGGCTCTTCAAAGGTAGCATGAGACACTGCCAAGGAAAAGGTTATATACTCTTTTCGAGTCTTTGGTTTACTTTTGACATGGCAAATGTTGGTGTATTTTTGCCATCTCAGCATTCACGAGGCTGAGAGACAAGGGGATTGTGAGTTCCAGTCCAGCTTGGGCTACATAACAAGACCCTTTCTCAAAAATAAAACCAAAACACCATTATTTAAGTAAAATATGCTCACAGAAATATTCGGCAGTCATTAGCCACTCAGGGGACATAGGTTTCGGAACACATGGCCAGTGATTCCTTGTAAGTTTGTCTATACTTCTCCCCCGAAATTAACCCCTCTACTCCCGTGTAGCACGATTGGTTAATTTTCACCTGTTTCTGGGTGATATACAAATGAAAGTACTCAGTATATATGATTTTAAATTTTTAAAAATTACTGTGACAAATGTATTTGACATAAGAATTTACCATTTCTCTATTTTGAGCATATAGTTGGATGGTACCAGTGTACCACCTGTCAAGCAACACTTCTCCATTCTCTCTCCTTTTAGTCTCTGACCACTGCCCTTCTACTTTGTATGATTTTTGGATATTTTAACCACACTGTATATGCAGAGTCATGCATTTGTCCTTTGGTGACTGTTTTGTTTCACTTAGTATAATATCTCCAAGGCTGCAGCATGTATAAGGATGACTAATATGCCTTTGGCTGTCACACACTTCATTTACACACGTGTTAGTGCATGCCTCCATGCTTTAACTGTTACAGTACCGCAATGTACATGTACAAATAGCTTTTCATGACTCTGGTTTCAGTTCTTTTTCCTAGACACCCCAAAACAGAATTGCTGCATCATATAGTAATTCTGTTTGTAAATTTTAAAAACCAGACCCTCACACATATGTGAAGGGGCCTTGGAATTGGTAGAGAATACACACAACCAAATTCTCAGCACAAAGGAGAGTTATTACCCAAGAGCAGGGGGGCGGTGACTGCCTTTGAATGAGGCACAAACAGCAACAGATGTGGCTGCAGAAGTGGTTTGTAAGGAGAAAAAAGGGGAAGACTGTGTTAGAGTGAGTTGGTAAGTCCTGATTGAATGTGTTGGCCAGTATAGTCAAATGATAAATTTTAATTGCTGGACCTCGGTGTTTTCATAACTAGACCCTGGAGTTTTAGTCAGGCATAAGAAAGTAGCCAAATAAGGGAATAGACTTTGGTGTCTAGCTTTAGGATTGTAATCTAATGGGTTAGCATCAGAGGCAGCAGGCCAGAGGGCAAGGCTTGCCATGCTCAGGCCCGCTGGAGAGTGCTGCAGTAGGGTCAGATGATCCAGGGCAGTGGTACCAAAACTAGTCAGTAGGGAAAGGAAATGTCTTCTGAACGGATGGTGATGGGAAATACTCAAGAGCGGGAGGCAGAACTCTCACCTAACATACATGCACGCACGCGTGCACGCACACACACACACACACACACACACACACACACACACACACACACTGACTTGAGAGAACCATCCAGTGTTTAGAAGGAAATATGGAAGAAAAGCTCATGCTGTTGGATTCAACAGGGTCAAAACGCACAGTGTTGAGCAACGCATGTTAAGATGCTCATCACTCGTGGTCATTGACGATGTGAAGAACAAAACTCAAGGAGATACCACTTCTCGCCCATTCGGAAGTCTCCTGTTAAGACCAAAAGTAAATGACGTTGAGAGAGAGGAGAAGCTGGACCTCACATGCCCCGCAGTAGAGATAGAAGATGCTGCAGCCTCTGCGGCCCCGGTACGTATTCTTGGGTCTGGTTGATTTCACTCCAATTGTGTTTGTGTTCATTCCAATCGTGTTTGTGAGATTCAGGGATGTGGCTTCATATAATTACATAGTCACCATATTGAATACTATTGTGAGAAACTATTGAAAGGTATTAGCTGTGTGGATTGCTTCCAGTTTGGGGTCTGGATAAATACAGACCATTCACTCCCCCCCCCATGGGCACGCACACACATAGACACAAACACACACACACACACAACACACTTATTATAAACATGCAAACGTATACCAGAATATATAGTAGCATAGTTCCCACATACCTGTCTTACTAGCCTAGGCAATTATCAATGCATGAGCCAGTCATTTCTTTTCTACAGTAATCCACCTCTGATTGTTTTGAAGCAATTATTAATAGCAGAAAAATCACTAAATATTTCAATATATATCTCCAAGTGGTAAGTTTTGCTTTAAAAAAAGAAGCCCACAAAATGTTTTCATCTAAAAAATTAATGTAATATTAGAATCAGATGTCTACTTTTCCTTTACATTTAGACTGATATACACAATTTTTTTGTAGTTGTTTTCCTTAGATTTACAGATTCATCCTCCACCTGTGTCTTTGTCACCTGCAAATTTTGTTCAAGTAGACCCTTTGTGGTGTACAGTTTTCTGGATTGTTGATTTTCCCGCTTGATCCCCAGGGCATTATTGAAACTGTGTCCTTGTTCTATTTTATGTGTTGTTTAATTTGTTGTTCATTTTTTAAGTTTTTTCACATATTGTGTCTTGTGGTGTGTACAAGTGTGTGCGTATGTGTATGCCCGTGTGCATGCCTGTGTGCGTGCATATGTGTGTGTGTCACAGTAGACATGCAGAGGTCAGAGGACAACTTACCAGAGTAACTTCCTCCTCCCACAATGTGGGTTCCGGGGATTGAACACCGAAAGGCGTGGCGCCATCATCCCCCCAGTCTGAACTGGCAGATGTAAGGCTTTCTGTGAACAGACAGACTCTCCCCTTCCCCATCTTAAATGATGTTGAATTGTTTTTTCACTTTATCTTTTAAGGTTAAATGTATATGTGAGTTACTATTTTAAATCAAGAGAAGCCAGTCAGCCTAACTGAGGAGTTTCAGGCCAGGTAAGAGGCCTTATCTCAAAAAACAGGACAAAACCGGGGTAGGTGGACCAGATGCAGAGGCACGGATAATGATTCACGGGACTAGGCTCAAATACAGGTTAAATACAATTTATTTTGGGGAGAGGTCACTTACACAAGAAGCAGATGGCCACCATAGGTTCCCGCTCTAAGGATTCGCACTGGCTGCTCCCTGTGACCCAACCGGATGCAAAAGAGAGCCACCTGCCCTGACCCCAGACCTAAATTCACTCCCTGTCACCTCCTCACCTGTGGCCATGCCCAATCGGGTATGGTCAGCGGTACAGGTGAGGGAGGGGTGGATATCTCACTACAGATGTGACTGGAAGAATGACACTAAAAACTAACCTCAGACCTCTATATGCACACACACACACACACACACACACACACACACACACACACACACACTGGTCTGCAGAGGTTGGGGAGGGATGGAGCACAAAAGATACCCTCTGAACAGGACAGTAACCCTGTACACATGAACTCACAGCAGCTGTGGTTGATTGCCTGCACAAGACCTGCACAAGATCAATCCAGTTAGCATCACAGCATAGATTGCAGAGGGGTCCAAGAACCCCTACCCCAGGGGAGGAACTACTGATGGTTGATAGCTTCCGGAAGGAGGCAAGTCCATTTTCTTCAGGGCCGTGCTCTCTGATATGTTAGCTATGCTCTATGGACAGCACAACACCCATGAGTCTTTGGGAACTACAAATTGTAGCAGGGAGGAATTAGGGGGACAAATGGTGGTGACTATATTAAATAAGCTACCACTTCAGTGGAGCCACACATAAGTAGAAAAACGTGCCTGCTTCGTTATCTAGTCAAGGATCCACCTGGACAGGCTTTCTAGTTCAGACATTTGCTCTCAATGAAAGGAAGCCTTGCCATGGTTTTCTGAATTGCAGGGTGCTATGCCTGTCTAGGAAGTATGTTCCGTCCTTATTTCCTGTGGTCCATAGAGTGTGTGTAGGCTATTGAAACAGTTGAGATCAAAGCAAAGAGCATTATTTGGCTGAGTCATGGGTGCTTCTGTCTTCCCTAGGGCCCTCTAACACCACCCCTCCCCCCCCAGGTTAACAATCCACACATCCTTCCCACATCTAGATAAGCCACGGAGAAACAGGTAAGGGCCTGTTCATGTTCGTTTTCGTCATGTTTTACAGACATGAGATGTGTCATTCAGGCTCCTTACAGACAGCTTTCTTCAAGTATACCTCACAGAGCTGGGCATTGGTGGCGCACGCCTTTAATCCCAGCACTCAGGAGGCAGAGGCAGGCGGATCTCTGTGAGTTCACGGCCAGTCTGGTCTACAGAGCGAGTTCCAGGACAACCTCCAAAGCTACAGAGAAACCTTGTCTCAAAAAAACTAAAAGCAAAAGGATACCTCACAGCTATTTCCGTGTCAGCACCGTGGCTCCTGCTTAGCCTTCAAGAAGCTACACAGCACAAGGCAGCCACTCCAGACTTCAGCCTCCACTGTCACAGTGTGGGGCCACTTTTGAATATTTTTGTCACTATAGCCACTAATGGCAAAAAATCATAACACTTAAGTATTTAGTATTAACTGGTGTATTTACACTTCAACTTGAAATTAATTTCCAATACAAAGACACAAAAACGTTAGTGATTCAAGAAAAATTGTGCAATCTGGTATTGCTGTCAATAGAATACAAAGCGTGTGAGAAAGTTGATTACCACTCCCGAACAGAGTTTATGATGAAATGGGGCCAATAAAAATGATATGCACTAAACAATTCATGAATTATGCATGCGTCTTAATTGTGGATGGCAACATCGTAATCTGTCAGGAGGATTCGATTAGACCTGGACTCCCTATTTTGCCCACATGCAAATCCATGACTACTGAGCATGCTTCATTGTGGTGTTGTGTTGCAACCTTTGTTAAGGCACAGTGACAGGACCATTTATAGCTTTGGTTGCTTAGATGTATGGTAAGTGGACAAATGTCTGGGAGGAGCTTATCCACTCTCTGTCCCAGATACAATCGTCCGCTGCTTTGTTAATGTCCTGCATTACCACTTCCCCAGCCAGACGGTGGTCTGATTCCAAGGCATGCAGGAGTGCTCAGAGGTCCTCTGGGGGTTCTGGTTAATATGGCTGATGTGTTCTCAGTGGACAGACTAATGGGGAAATAAACTATGTAAGCACCGTCTGAAAGTGAGTATGGGAGACTGGAGCATCTTCAAGGGAGAAAAGATATGTTGGATAGCAGAATTGACGCTGGATTCCAATTTAATAATATACATGTGTACAATGCATATTTATATAGAACATACAACATAGTCTATAAAACAGTTTTTTATATATACTTAAATGTACAGTGCCTTAGATACATGCAATACATATGATTTATAAAATCGGAATCATAGGTAAGTGGTAATTTGAAAAACAACGAATAAGACGGAAGCATTGATTCTGATTCTTATTGAAAGTCTTTGCAAGAGGGCGGGCAATGTTGGGGGAGGGGAGGGGGCGATCTAGCTGGGGTCTCAGGCATGTTGACTGAGAAAGGGAGGAAAACAAGCGTCTTGAAAGAGAAACAATGGTGTTAAGGTTCAGTAGCTTCAGGCTCCTCTGAAGTGGACGTGTTGGTTTGTGTAAAGCCCGGGCATGTCAAGAGGGGAGTCCAGTTTCTGAGCTAGCAACTTAGCTAACGATGGAGCAACCAGCTGGGGCATTTGCCTTAGTTTGTTAGTCGAGCGGGTGAGTCACACCAGATCGCATCAGCCTTCTGCTTTGCCAGGGAAAACTCGACTGGACCACCCCAATGCGCAGATCCAGGATGCTGCAAGCACACGTAGGAAAGCGCCTTTGCCTGAGGGTGTTTTTCTGACCCTTCTACGTCAATCTAGAAAATTCCCTGAAGTTTGTCATTTTGCCCACAGCACTCTCACACCCCCGCTTTTCATGACCTCACCTCCAAGATGGCATCTACGACTGCCAGGAAGGAACCTGCTGTTGGCAATGCTAGCTAGAGCCTGGGGGAAGCAGAGAAGCCTCTGACCAGATCCTGCAAGGAGATTACCTTCTAGCACCATCTTAAGAGTCATACTCTAAGCATTCAAAATGGACCATTTTTAAAAGTCAACAGGTCTAGCTCCTTGATCCACCAGGTTATTAGAACGGTTCCTCTTTGAGGAAACAATGAACCTTAGGGGTTCGGGAGATGTCTCAGGAAAGTACTTGCTGAGCAAGCATGAGGACCTGAATTTGGACCCACAGCACCCATGCAAAAGGGCCTGTGTAAATGGCAATGCACAGCTCTGTGTGCCTGTAATCCCGGCGCTGGGGAAGTGGAGACAGGAGGAGCCCCGGGGCTGGCTGGTCAGTCAGTCAAGCAAACTCCACGTTCGGTGAGAGACCCTATCTCAGAAAGTAAGGTGGAGAACGGTAGATGAGGCATCCATGTTGACTCTAACCTCCACATACACGCACACAGTCATACTACACAAACACGCATGTGTGTGTGTGCGCGCGCGCATGCGCACACACACACACACACACACACACACCAAATAGGTTTAATGGGGACTCAGAGTTGAACAAATGATGGCAACCCAAAGAGAAACTCAAGGCTCTCCTCAGCTGTAATGAAGAATCTTCTATGTTCCTGTTTCAATTACCCTCCCCCACCTCAGCTTGCAGCAGCAAATGTAACTTTGAACAATTTGAAAGCAAATGAAGAGGAATAAAGTGGGGTAGAGATAAAGGCGCTAGCCCGAGGGTGAGAAAGGTGGGCATCCCAATGATGACAGTTTACACGGTCACCAACCCATCCCACGCTCCACCCAGACATGACTCATCCTTGAGTCTGTCTCCTTGAGGGTGTCAGGTGACACGGTCTCACACTAGATGACCACTTTGCGGCCAGTTTTGCACACTAGACTGGAAGTCCCTCCAGAGCCCACACACGACTTCCATTTTATTGCCACATGGATCAAGTGTGTGTTGAGTCACGTGAATGAAACTCACGGCTCCTTCCAGATCTCAGGGACAGATTTCCTCAATGCCATTGTCCCACATCGGCACATTCCACAAGCAAGATGATGGAATGTGCAGTCACCCTAGGGACAGAGATCCTCATGCTGGAGACGCTAGGAATATTGATTGAGTGCCACTTAGAATGTTCTAGAGCAGCCCCCATCCTGGGACTGGATGAAGACTCTGTTAGGACAACACAGACCCTACTTTTCCTATACACCATCCTGCTTTCTTCCCTTCCCTCTGAATTTGTCAGCCCCAAGAGTCCATCCCCAGTGAGTTTCCATCTTAGATTATTCTTCTTGGAGTCCATCTGGTGGCGCTTGGTGCCAGGAGCGATACAAAGAGGGGTGTCATTACTTGAGCAACCGCAGCCACTGGAATGTGTATGCCAAGGCAATGATTACAACTATCTTCAGAGGTAAATCGGGATGATACCCCAGGTGGGCGTCATGGATTGGGCTGAGAGCTGTGGAAAAAATAATGAAGAGACAATAGATGTGGCTGCTGTTGGAGAAAATGGGGGCTCTAGGAAAGGAGGGAAGGTGTTTAGCCGCAATTAAAGGCTAAATGCAAAAGCCAGTGAGTCTCTCGCCAACAAGCAAGAAACTCTTGCGCTAAATATAGCAATTATTGTGTGTTAACAAAATTTCAAGAAGGAAAAAGAGAAGGGAAGATAAGGAAATGAAGGAAGGAAGTTAATTTTGCAACAAGAGCTGAGAGTAATGGTCAATATTTAACTCCCAGGAGTAGGCCATCTTTTTTTTTTTTTTTTTTTTTTTTTTTTTGCTGTTTGTTTTTTGAGACAGGGTTTCTCTGTAGCTTTGGAACCTGTCCTTGAACTCACTCTGTAGACCAGGCTGGCCTCGAACTCCCAGAGATCCGCCTGCCTCTGCCTCCTGAGCTCTGGGGTTAAAGGCGTGCGCCACCACTGCCCTGCTAATTTTAATAGTTCTTTATGCAAATGCTGAGGCACAGCAAATCTTAACAGAATACATGCACAGAGACTGTCTGAGGTGGGTCACAAACTGTGGTCTGCATCCTTTTGGTGTAGAATTGGGTCACATGGGGCCCAATACCTTGGTCTTGTTCCCATACCCTTGATTTTTCTCCCAGTGAGCCCCAGGGCTTCCAGTTATCTCTTCATGGCCCCCAGAGAACGGCTTTTATCTTGACAGCAGCATGTAAGTCCTCAACAGATGCTCACACAGATCTGTGTGGGGAAACTGAAGATCTGTATAGAAACTGGGGCAAACTGCACTTCTTGGACCTCTGCAACCGCGGCAGCCGCCACTCAGTCCCACCCATTGCTAGTAAGACCAGGGACCTGTGGTGTGAAGAGATGTTGTTTGATTCAAGAAGACTGGGTTTGAAATGTCTTAGGTTTTAAACATTGAGGGTACTCCACAAGCCAAAGATCACACTGGCATGTCAGCTATGGTCCACGGGCCACTGTTTGTAGCCCCTGACCTGAATGACAATTTAAAAGGTGACTTTCCCAAGTGCTGTGAATTGAGCGTCATTGGGAAAGTGACCTCATTCTCCTAAATATCAGCCCCAGTGCGGCCTCAATCTCCCCTATTTTTAATTTATTCTCCAAGGTAAAAGTGAGTTCTCTGTGTTAAGACAACATGACAGGGTCTGGAGAGATGGCTCAGAGCGCTGGCTGTTCTTCTAGGGGTCCTGAGTTCAATTCCCAGCAACCACATGGTGGCTCACAACCATCTATAATGAGATCTGGTGCCCTCTTCTGGTCTACAGGCATATGTATTTATTATGTGTCCATAATAAATAAATCTTTAAAAAAGACACCATGGTGGAGAAGGCTAACCTCCTAAAATCCATCCCCATGCTGTAAAAAGAGAGTGATCAGCTATTCAAACCCTCCAGGCAAGAGGCAGAGAGAGAGTGTCTAAGAAGATGGGAGTGAGGTTGACTGGAACCACTCTGCCATTGGCACCGGTGTCCCAGGCTAGTCTCAGCGCCCGTCTCCTGGGCCTACAGGAAGGAAGTGATTCTGACTAGACACCTTCAACCACAGGAAATGAGGAAGGAGAGGCGTGCTTGCGAAAGAACAGAACCTGCAGAAGGGAAGACTGAGGTCAGTCAGGACTGAGGAGGGAGTGAGACCCAACGGACCGCCATCAGACCTGACGACTAGCGGGGCGGGGACAGGGTGATCCACTGCAAGCCATCCCCTTCTTCCTGGAAGCCATAACACAGTGCCAGCCCTTTGTCAAAACTCACAGACCTACAGTCTACCGGGTGGGTGGGCTTCAAAATGAAAAACAGTGACAGGCTGTTACCACAGCAGAAATGGGCAGTCTTAGATTTAACCTCTAGGAGACCTGGCCAAGTCAATCAGTGTCCCTGAATTTTAGCTAAGAGCTCCTTAATCCAATGCCAAACAAAACGACGTAGACGCTTTTCCTGCCCATGACGCCATTGTAACTTTTCTTCCGCACTTAATAAATCATCTGTCTGTGAAATCAGGTGTTTAGGTGTGATTTGTGTCTAATCCAGCATCTGGGAGGGAACCCAGGGGGGGTGTCTCCTTCTTTTCATGTGCCCCTTTTAGTTATTTAAGTCTACCAGGGAAGATCTGTAGTCCCTGGACCAGCTGCTTTCAGGTCACATGTCATTTAATTCTCCATCTTTTTGATCTTGAAAACCAGGATTCATAAGTTCGTACAACTTCTCAGGGCAGAAGCAGGGGCTGCTCCAAGCCCTGCAATTTCA